CTATTATAAATGGTACTGTTTTCCTGATATCCTTTTCATCATTCTCTTTATTAGTGTATAGGAATCCACCTGATTTTTGTATGTTTATCTTGTATCCTGCTACTCTGCTGAATCTTTCTATTAGTTCCTAGTAGTTTTCTTGTGGAGTGTTTTGGTTTTTCTATCTATACTACCAAAAAATATGATTCTTGAAACAAAGAAGTCAATGAATGGGTTGAATGGTAGGAATGGATGCAACTACAGGAAAAATTAGTGATAGGGATTTGGTTCAACGAACTCTCTCAGAAAACATTAGGAAGGGATAAGAAGAGAAGAAAAAAGAGATATGTAAGAGAGAATTTAATAAGGTGACAGCCATTATATCAGAGACCAGAACAACAGGAAGTGCATGTGGTGACATCAGTCTCAACATCTGACTCAATTTTGCAGGGGAATGGGGGGATAGGAATTGATCCTGCCCTCCACAGGTCGATCACAAAATAGGGAAGTTTAATTTCTTCCTGTTTTTCTCTGTCTTATATATCCTGACTTTGTATTCTAAAGAATATTAGCAAATTATTTCTTACTAAATAATATAACTACAAGAAAAAATATCCAGCATGTTACTCTGAACATTCTCCAACAATATTAGTAATAATATACTACTATGTGAAGCAAACTAGAGATATTTTTAAGTTTGGAGGAGTTTGCTTGGGTCCTCTGTTTCAATTGCTTTAACTCTTGGTGGGTGTCTCAGTTAAGAACAACCCTTTAAGTTTAACAATTTAATAATTTTAAAAAATAATTTAATATTAAAATTATAATTTATTAAATTGAATTTTGAAAAAGAATGAATAAATGGCAATTTAATCTTAAGTAGAAAAGGAATAAATTTATTCAGTCTATCATTTATTTTTCTATTATAATCATATCTAATAGTTTCTCTTACATTTTGGACATCTATATCCATTTAAATATTTTTCAACAAAATTCTTAGTTTCTTTATCAGTAAATTTAAATGAAATGTTAATAGATTTTTCTTTCATGTTCACCGTTTAAACAAAACAACAGAATTTATTAGGAAATATTTTGGATGCTGAAGTGAAATTTAAATTACTGAGTTAAAAGAACAAAACTGCCACCAAAAGTACATAATAGTCAGGATTTTAGTGTTTTCCGAATATAGCATTATTACCTGAGGGAACGAGATTAACAGATTATGAATATAATTACAAGATATTAAGTTTCCAGTACACCATACCAGGTCATCTTCTCTCTTTTTATTCCTACATCTTGCTTTATCCCGCCATTTTGTTAGGATATTTATTAGCTTGTAACAATAGAACATCTTTTGGATCCGCGACAGTGCCTCTAAAGAAAATGTGTTAGATTACTGTATATAGTCAAAGTTGTTTCCAAAAAACAAAGTATTTTAATATTCCATCATGTTTGTAATATGAACCAAAGTAGCATCTGATAATTTCTCTGGGCTGTAATTACATCTTAAATTAATTACTTTTGACAGTATTTGATAGTACTCCTGAAACTTTATTAACTTGTAAACATCACCTTTGCCTTTAGAAATTAAGATGTACTAGAAATGTCAAGATATATATCATTCCTTTTTTTAACAAATCAGTTATTTATAAAATTCCAAGCTCATTTATAAAAAATATAATCATGAGGTAGTATTCAGATCTACCGTATTTGTACACAAATAACATGTGCCTTCTATTTGTTTACCAACCACGCCTCCCCCCCCGCCCCCAGGTATTTTCAAAAGTGCCGCTATGCCAATATTTTTTTACATGTTGCTGTAAAAAAAAACAAAATAGCGTAGAGCACTTACAAAAATACCTCAGGGGAGGGAGGCACGGCTGGCAAATAAATGTAGAAGGTGTGCATAATTTGCATAAAAATACTGTAATGCTTTTGAATTTAATTAAATGTCCTATGATTAAAATATTGCCTTATATATGTTAACCAGGGCTCAAGATCTCAAATACAATGGCCAGGCCAGGAAGGAGAGTATATATCCCTGCTTTATACAAAAGCAACTTAAAGAAGGATAAGAAGAGAAAGAGCAGGAGACAGAAAGGGGGTAAAAGATGGAGAAGAGGCAGGTGAATGTCACTAGGGAAAAGGAGAGCAGAGAGAGAGAAGACGGAGGGAAGGCGGAAAGAATATTGGCATTTCATGCAGTTCAACCTAACAGTGAGAAAGACATTGGGAGGTGGAGGAAATGAAAGGCAAGAGAGACAAGCCACAACTACAGAGAAATAGAGGAGAAGAAGAGGGGTACAAAAGTGGGAGAAGGGAAGAAAAGTGAAAAGAAAAATACAAATAAGGAGCAAGAAACTGCCAAGAAGAGCAACAGGTGTTGAGAAGCAGAATCAAAAATTACAGGCAAAAAGTGCAGTGTTTCATTCTGTTGTACACAGGGTCGCTATGAATGGGAACTGACTGGACAGCACCTAACAAGTGCAGAGAGGAAAACAATCTGGTAGAAAAGCCATTCTACTGTAAAAACTAAACTGCTTTTGCTACAGAGCTCGCCATTTATCCAAGATACGAATTTTAAAGACAGTCACTGCCTATTATCAGAGCCCTGGTGATGCAGTAGTTAAGAGCTAGGCTGCTAACCAAAAGGTGGCCAATTCGAATCCACCAGCCCCTCCTTGGAAACTCTATGGGGCAGTTCTACTCCGTCCT